CTCCTGAGGGAAAGAAGGAAAGGAACAAGGGAGGAAGGGGAAAAGGGAGGGAGGGAAAAAGGGAGGGAGAAAAGGAGGCAGGAAGGTAGGAAGGCAGGAAGGAATGAAGAATAGAAAGTAGAGGCAGACATTGAATTATCAAGACTGGGAAAATGCAATTCTGGATTGTTCCAGACATCTAAATCCAGAACTGGTTGTCAGGCTTTGAACAAACTCTGCTACTGCAAAGTTAACTGGGATGTTTTTGTCTGCAGTATTCATATCAGGATTTTTATTCCAAGCAAGGTTATGCATTCATTACAAGTTTCTTTGCAGACATGTAACCTCTGTCACTACTGACATTTTTTACACGTCTTTGAAAAGCTATTAGCCAGGAGATGGTTTGCCCAAAATTAGGTGTGCTGAACTTGAATTTATAACACTAACCCAACCTTATGTAAAGAGAATACATTAAAACAAAACAAGCATTTCTCTCTGGTACCTCAGTTGTACTCAGAGTGTTAATTTTAACAGTGGTATGCTAGAAAAATTCTATGTCTGAGGTGTGGTTGCTAGTCTAAGGGTGTCCTTTAAGACTCATAACCTTGTATATGAATGTAAAAGAAAGATGATACTCATAATGATGAAGATAGCATTACCAGAGGAGATAGATGACCTTGGACATGTGAAGTATTCCCAGGAGTGAGTGGTGACTTCACTGGTTCTACAAAGCCAGATGTTTCATATTTCCACATCTGTCCCAGCTCTTGTCCTTCCTCAGGCTTGATCTTCGGATTTGGTTGTGCATAAGACAAAACACTGCTTGATGACCTAACTTCACCATTAGTCTGATCTCCCCTCTCCCTAAAGAAACAAATAGAAGGAAGAAGCAAAAGATTCTCCCAGAAGGCCCAGCAGCAGCCAAATTGGTCATGGCTTTTTACCCTAAGTTCATGGTCAGTATGCCTGGCTGTCTGACTTTGTGGCTGCTGAATTCATAGGGAACAAAGCAGACAGTGCAGGAGAGGCTTGTCATATTACAGCTAAACAATTAAGTGCAAACAGGGTACAGGCAGGAAGATGCTCTTATAGTAAAGGACATAAATACAGATGAATCACAGATGTGGAGAGAGAAAATAAAATGCAACTTAATCTCTTGAAAGGAACAAAAAGCTACCTTTGAAATAATTTTTCCTACTCTACCTACTTAGAAAAGTAGTGTAGAAAGACTGGCATCTCTTTTACAAATTTGACATAAGTATGGTGGCCAGGGAAAAAGCATAATCATAACAAAAATTACCCCCTTCACAGAACATCAGATTTTTCAAGCTCTGACATTTTGGATTTCACTTTTAAAGAATGGTCTCTGAATTGTATGCCCAGGGAGCATCATTATTATGATGTGCAATGTTCCATTTATTTGGTAAAGTGTAAATTCATTTGTCGAATAAAATCTGAGTACTCAAGCTGGATGATAAGGTGAGGCCATAGCAGAGGAGAGAACTAAGTCTGTTTGTTAGGTTTGTAAGACAAAGCAAATTCCAATTCTCAAATTAATGAGCAGTTTTTATTAAATCATAAACGTAGCTGTGTTGATACAACAAGCATCAGAGTTTATATTCAGAAATTTATTTGGACCAACATACTTAATGAGGACTATGGTATAAAAATCTATTTAAAATTAAGTAAACTATACAGGTCTGAATATGTAACTGTAGATTACAAGGGTAGGAGAGCATTTTGTATGTAACATATGGAGATTCTTTACTGTCACATTTACATAGAATTCTTAAAACAATTTATGCCCAGAAGTTCCTAAAATAGGAGCATGAAGGCTCATCAAAGCTAAGTGGGCAGCAGGCAGTATTGTAAAGTCCAGTTCACAGTTTTTTTCAAAAAGCACCATGAACATTTTTTCAACATGTTCCCATCTTCTGCATGCAGCTTATGAGAAGCTAAATCAGCTCATTCTTTAATGCAGCCCTTGCCTGCCACTAAATTAAAAAAAATAATAATAAAATAAAAAATGAATGGAGTGGAGGGAGAATTTAAGAAAAGAAAGAGGAACTTTTTGCTTAGAACATTTGCTTTCCATATCAATTAGTCCAAAGTTACAATAAGATGGAATTCCATACATTAAAAAAAAAAAGTTAAGTAGAATGAGACAGACTTCAAAGGTGTTTTTTGATCTTTCATTCTATTGTGGTTACCTTGCTGATCTCAAAATACAAAGAGCAGGTGAGGGCACTGCCTGAGGACTCAGTCTGGCAGCAACATTTCCCACTGGAGCCCCAGCTCGGCCTCGGAGACAAGTGGCAGTGAGGAAAGGAATAGCAGGCTAGGAGAGTTTACTTCAGATAGTACCTGAAAACACGTTGTGTTGGGTTATAGTTCTACTACTAGAAACGGTAGTTTGTTTCTAACTGTGCAAAGGAGTATTTATTTCTGTCAGCAAATAAATTAGCCTTATTATTTTCCCTTAAAGACAGTAATCCTGGTGTTTGAGTTTTTCTGACAAATACAGGCTGTTCCATTCTTTTAGGAGAACTTAGTCATTTTGCAGCTTAGACTGGCATGCTGCTGGAGTGTTTTGTTCACAAATCACAATGTGATCTTGGAAGCCAGAACGTGCTTTCCAACAAGCTGTGTGGGTCCCTCTATGGACCTTCATTGGGCAGGCACTGCGAAAAACACCTTGGTAAGCCAGAAAGGTCTATGTCCCTGAAAACAACACTACTTGTTACAGTGAGATACATTTGTCATAAAACTAATGTTTCCAAAAATAATGCTTTCAGAGTGAATAGACCTAATCTTATATCCATTTAATAGAAAAGGCATTTGCTGTGAATCAGGATAGGTCCAGTCTTAGTACCTTAGTAATCAAAAAATGGCGCATTAACACCAGCAGTAAAGACTCTGCCTGCTGGCTAAGTTTGTTTTCTTATTATTACCAAGACGATTTTCTGCTAAATTTGTTTCCTCGAATATTTGAAGGTTCAGTTACTCCATTAAGCAAACTGATAGTGTCATTGCCTACCACTGCATTACAAGAAGGGTTTGCAGAATGGATGCTGAGCATAGGTTTATGTGCATCCATGAATTCCTGGAGCTCATTTCCACATAGAGGCAACAGACGCAATTTAATTAGTTTCTGTCTAACAGAGAAACAATAAAATCCCATCTCTATCTCATGTCACAAAGTAATGGATATTTTTTACCTGCCTCCCCTTTTCTCTTTTTTTCCTGTACCTCAGTGTACGATCACTGTGATGAACATAATGGCTGCTTGGAAACCATGTAAACCTTACTTCTGCTTTGTGTTGCTGAGTGTATATAGGGTAATAGGTCATTCCAGATGACTTCATGACTAACTTGCAAATCTGGTGCTGTCAGGTTAAACAAAGCAGATGTCAGGCTGAAGTAGCTGAGTGCACTGAGCTGGGACCAGGACAACCTGCATCATGAAGGTGCTTACTATTTATGGTGGTTTC